CATTCGCTAGTATTCAAGTGATGCACATCACATGACATGATTACGTCTTATTCATTCTGGCTCCCCAGCTTCTATTAGCGACCTGTTAAGTTGGGCTTTCAGTTTTGTGGGAATTGCGGAAGTGTCAGATTCTCAGATAAAGGTCAGCCGACGTTCGTATGCAGTGATTTATTTATTTTTTCATCCCCTTCAGCAGCTGAAGTCGTCTTTGCGCTATCCTGGACATTGAAGTTGGAGTATATTGCTTATACACTCGCATTCCATGGAACCTTGTGAACGAGGGCCTTGAGTTTGATTCTTCTGCTTCACACCATTCCTGAAGTGTCAGATTCTCAGATAAGTGCAAATTGTCTACAGGATTGGTTATCTTCTTCTTTTTTATGCAGATTTTGGCACAACATAGTTCTTTTTATCCAGAGTTTAGGGTTTAGCCTCAGAGAATCATGCCGGAAATTTGGGCAGCGCTCCCGCTGAGGGGGGCCGACCCCCATCGCAAAAAGTTTCTTTTACTTGGTGAGGTTGCTGGAAGTTGAGTCTGATGCGTTTTCTTGTTCGTGATCGGTCTGTCCGTGATCGGGTTATTGAAACAGAAGTTTTATTGCTTGATCCAGGCTCTAATGTTTGATTTGTCTAGAGTATAGACAGATCAAACAGTAGAGCCTTGGTGGAACCAAATTGGGTGGTTCCATCAAGGAGGTTGGGTGGTTGGGGAGACCCATGTTGGGTTTTCATTGCAAGGACATATTGTTCTTGATTCTGCGTCGCCTCGACGGTCTGCCCGGTCGAGCCCTGGCTCTGCCCGAATGGGTTCGGCCGCGTCTCACGGGTGGATCCGAGGTACGTGTGCCATGCGCAGAGCCATTCCTTACATCCTATGTTCAGCATCAGTTTTAACATCATGCATCAACGCGTCTTCTGGATCAGTTTGAGCATCATGCATCTGAAGGCGCTCGTGTGTTCTTCAGATCCATGGAATTCAACCTGACTGAGAAGCTGAGTTTAAGTATGGTGATGCGTGTACTTCCACCTATCAGTGTTATGAAGAAAATGTTTGCTTTTCTCCCGTGCAACCTTGCTTGGCACTCCTTTTCTGTTGTCATGAGGTCGGATGTTGGTGGAATATGCACTGTTGAAAGAAATTCTTATGATTTTGCTTGCTTGTGCTCAAGAGAAGAGAGAGTGTTCATCTTCGAAATCTATAGGTCGAGCGAGTTTCCCAACATTTTATCAGCTGTTCCACTCCAATAATTTTGTCTTGCTTTGTTTTTACGATTAGCAAGCAAAATACATTTTCAGCTCCTGTCCTGGCAATGGATGGAAACACTGTTGGTGGGAATAGCCTTTGTGCCAATTGTGGTTGGCGATGGAACATATGTATTGCCACAAGAGAGGAGTTCAAGAAAGTTCTTTTCATGAACTGGGTGAAACAATATGACCGACCTTTGTGTTGGCTTTGTGCCCAAGTTTGCCCTTTTTTACAAGATGGACAAAAGGATCCGAACGGATTGTGCCAACAGTTTGAGTCTTCCTGTGCAACGGCCCGACAATATCGAAGGCTAAAGATGCTGCCACCATGTGACCCTCTCTTTAGCGTAGAGGCGGAGCGAGATTCTGTGTCTCCTGAGATTTGGCGTGATCCCTTTTCGCCGAGAAATGAAAGAACAACATCGACTTCTAACATCTTTGCAGGTATGATCGCAGAAGCTCAGAGGTTGAGGTGTGACATGATGTCACTGAGGACCAGGCTCGATCAAATTTGCCTTGAGTATGGTCGACAGATTTTGTCAAGAAAGAATGAAGAATGTGTTTTCACAAATGAAGAAGCAAGTAATGCAGCATCTTCTTCCGACCGAGGGCAGAATCGTTGGTCAACGCAACAAGATCGACAATCAAGAAGCGGCAATTTCCCGTTGCATCCGCTGCCAACAGTGCATGAATCTGAAAATAGATCGAATGACCGGAACATGTCACATGAATTTGGAAGCTGGACCGAAGACAGTTCTTGGAGAGATTCATCGTCATGGCGGCAAAACAACCGATGGCAATCCTGGAATTCAAACGGAGTTTACTCTCACCAGGATACTTGGGATGAAACTGAAGGTGAGGGATCATGGTACCGTTCCTATGAAAGGCCACACTATGTTCAAACTTTGCAGAGCTCGAATAATAGCAATGCGAGACAGGCACGACCTCCTCGTGTAGTTTGGGATCCTCCTCCTGCCAATTCTGGTCGTTGATGGCAGAAGGCTGTTCATGTTCAAATGCAAAACTTCAAAAGATTCATTGCTTGCATGGACACAATTTGTGTCTTTTTCTTTTTAACCACAAGAGGTTCGGTCCGAGCAGAATGGAATGTCCGTGATCGGGTAAGTTCGTGATCGGCAGATTTTCCCAGTGAATGCAGACTTGAAATCATCATCACGTTTCAGTAAAGCTGTACTGTGAATGGTGGAGAATTCAGTGAATGTGAAAAAGTGAATTCTGTGCATCTGTGTCAAAAGAGGGGAGGTTCAGAATGTTGATGTGCTTTTAACATTGGAGTTGATACGTATATTTTCTTTTTAATAGTTGAAGCTTTATCAAAATGTTTTGTATAGATTTTTATGAATTAAGTTGAAACGATGATGCCGTTTCCATATGATGCATAAGCTTCCTCTGATCATTTTACTCGCTAACATTATGGCTCCAGATTTTTCACAGAAAACGTTATCCGCGAGGGTGATCTTTATTCTTTTTGATGGACGTGCGTGTTTGGTCCATTTTCTCTGGCGAATTATTGAGCAGAATTGCTTTGGAAGCTGGCCCTGGTGTTACTGGAGCAGACATCAAAAAAATACTCTCTGACCAGCTGGGAATCAATAGGTTCAGATAAGTGTTGTATTTGAAGGATGGAACACAGATTCTAAATGGAGAAGTCTTAAACCAAATTGAGCATGATGTGCATTTGCTGGTCAAAGGAACCGGGCATGTTTCGTGCAACGAGTCCCAGCGAAGTCAAATGGTTGAAGCTTCTTCGGCTAATAAACTGCAGATCCTGGAACTGCTATTGTACGAGCATCTTGATCCAAACACTACAGACGCATATGGCAGAACCCTACTAGAATTGGCAGCTGGCGGAGATCATCAATTTGCTCAGTGTTGTCATCTTCCCCAGTGATATCAATGCACACACGAGTTTTGTCATTAGCCGGGAGGATAGAACTTCTTTTAAGGGCAGCCTGGATAGGGGGCAATGCTTCTCCTTGATGTAAGGAAGAAACCTGGGACGACTTGGTCTTCACAGGGGTTGCGATGTCAGGGGGATCCTTAGCGATTTCGACGACAAAAGAGTCATCAGATAGCAATGGCTGCTTTTCTGGTGATTGATCATTTCCAATAGGGGCCTTAGAGGCAGTGTCAGGAGGATGGCATTGGCTTGGAGTTGTGAATTCTATGGGGTCACTGTTATCACTCCTCTTTTGACAGCCACCAGAATGAGCAACACCGAATTCGTGAACCTTTTGTTGCATGCTAATGCAAATCCTAATCGTTGCTACTGTGTTCGACCTGGATTTCAAAAATGTTGGACACCTTTGATTTGTGCTGTCATTCGTGGTTACAAGAGAACTTTTCGTGACTTCAGTACTGCAGAGAACAAGGCGAGGAAAAGACGCGATTGCAATGCTTGGTCTAACCACATGGATGATATCAATTCGGATGACAATCGTTCAGATGAAGATTGGAAATCAGACAATCCCGAAGAAGATTTGCAGCAAATCAGTGCCAAACACTACATGACAGACGAACTTGCTTCCAGATGGTACAGAATGATGTTGAAGACAGTCGAGCTTCTGACAGATGATTTTCTTGCAGTTCTGCCTTCTTACTTTGGAGGACCCAGACAAGCTCGTTTATCTCGTGAGATCGAATTGACATCTGTGGTTCAGAAGCTGCAAGATTTGAGCTCCGACATTGTCGACATGTGCAACGATAAATTACTTTCAAAAAAACAGTCTGAGGCATTGACTGAAAGAATCTTCAAAAAACGCAAACTTCTGGAAGATCTGCTGATCTTGGACTCGCTTCTATTTTTGGAAAGTACATTCGAAGGAGTTTTTCTGTCATGTTTTAGCTCTCCGAGTATACCGAGGTCATCTATACGCAATTATATGAAGCGTTTCAGCATGAATTTAAACACCTTGCAGACTTTATTGGAAAACGGCTGTCTCCTTGAGAGTGAGATCGTGCAGCGTGGATGGCTCGTTCTCAATTTCGATGCAATGCCGGATGAGGTGTTTGCAGAGATGATCGAAAATAAACAACGGGAGCCCACTTATGTTGCTCTCAAAGATATGTTTAGAATACATTTTCTGGATGTTCCTCTATTAGCTGCAGAGGCAGGGCACGATGTGTGTCTACGCTTCAATTTCATTCCCAACGCATTACAAGAAGTTGTGAAGCAAGCCAAAGAGCGCGGTTCGCACACTCCAGAAAGGCGTGCATATTCTTGGTTGCTCCAATTAATTGGTTTCGTGAACGAGAGAAAGAGCAGGATCGCAGTGCATGATGAAGAAGAATTAAAAATTGCAATTTGGGGATTTCCATATGACAATTCAATGGCTCACAAGAACCGTATGGCATTGGACAACTACTAAATAGTGGCTGTCTTTTGTTCGCGTTTTTAGAACACGACTGCCTGACAAAACAAAGAGCCCTGCTGTTTTATCAGTCATGATGTTTACTTGTTGTCACAGCACCATTTACATATTCACCTGTCGTTGACATTTTATGTCAAGCTGTGCTAGTCACATTGTCGAAATCGAGAAGGGAAACGATGAGAAACAACAATGCAGACATCTACTGCTGATTCCTGCACTGTCAGTTGATCCGTGATCGGGATCGTTCGTGATCGGGTAGTAAACTGACTTTGCTATGATTAATTGAGTTTAGTGGGTTGTGCATAAATCTATTGAACAATTTCATTAGCATTTGCTTTAGCTTGTTTGCTAACCTCTCTCGAAATGGCAATGCCTCTCGCTTGGCCTGAAATTGCTCATACAGCAGAAGATGTGCTGCAGTTCTGCAAGATGATTGCCAGAGGAAGTAACTACACTCAGATTGATGATCTGTCACGGAGTTTGGAAAGGGGGTCTACAACAAACTCTTGTTTGTTCCAGATCAGCAGCTCAAGTCTGACAGACATCTTGAACGAGATTCCGATGCTGGGCAAACAAGTTTTTGACATGAAGCTGGACGAAGAGAGAAAAGTCAACCCTCAGAATCCTGCGAAAACTGTGCAGATCAGCAACAACAGGGTGGTGTATTATGAAAGTGCCTCCATAAACAGAGGATCGTGTCAATGTATATTTTCCTTTGGAGGCGAGAACAAGCAGGAAAGAGTTCGTATTACCTATGCTGCAAACCATTCGATGCCTGGATTGGCCATACAGCAGTTCTTTGAAAAACATTTCCTTCAAGACACTGCGTCTTCTTGGTATAGCCGATCTGGAAGTTTCTCGACAGTAATTTGGGTCTATTTGCTTATGTATGTATAATGTTTCTTATTATTCTTATTTTTTAAGACAAAGGCATCATTATACTTTAATCTTTTGGTCCGGCTGAGGTTTTCATTTGCTGATCAACCGCTACACGTACAACAAGAATCATGGAATCTCTTTTCACAATGACATTAAAGAAGGATATGATGTGGACAAAGATCCCATTACTTCTTTCTCCTGCCGACTCGGGTCTTTGCTGGTTATCATCTCCAGCACAGCACCAGAAAAACAAGAGAAGACCGAGGGCAAACGTGCGTTTGTTGTGTATCAGCCTCCGGGAACAATTCTTGTGATGGGCGGCAACTTTCAGAGAGCTTACAAACATGGTGTACCAAGTTTTCAGGAGATCAAAGAGCTTCTTGCTTGTGCAGACGACTTGACTACTTGGGACGGTCTGAAACTAAAATTGGAGTGGTTTTCGAATTCGAAACACTTGATGCAAGAGGAAGTTAAACGTATTGACTCCTTGAATCTGGTCAACGAGCAAGACGCACGTTGGAACGTCACAATGCGATGGGTGAGAAATCACTCACAGCCTTTCTGTCCTCTAAATCCCCGACTCTTGACAAGTATCAGTCGACTGGATGAAGAAAATCATCAGCGGAGGAATCAGCAGAAGCAGCTGAAACTGTTGAACCCGGTATTGCAGAAAAAAACTGCAGAGCCAAAGGCAAAGGCCGCTAGCCCGGCATTTGCTTGGAACCCGCCCGGAGGAAACAGAGCTCGTCCAAGCAAAAGCGGAACACAGGATGTGAATCCGGGGAGGGAAACCGAGGAGAAAGAATCGGAGAAAGATTCCGAAAAGGAATTAAATGAGATATTTGACTTCGTTTCTATTATTTCTGATGCCCTGGAGCTGCAGATATTATCAGACGATCAGATGATGGACATGGCATTGTGTGGCAGCCAACAAATTCGCAAACATCGTTTCTCCACATTTCAGGAACAGTACAATCTTGGTTACAATTTGTACAACAAGATTTCGGCAGCCAATATGAGAGTGAAAGAGGATTTAGACCCGTTACTCAAGGCTGTGGATCGGAAACTGAGGAGATTGAAAAACTTGCAGATGCTTATGGAAGTATAAACTCCCGTTGATACGGTGAACATGTGCTACGTTCCCCTGACAACTTGATATGGCATGTGGAATTTGGTTACAACAATGTCTTCTTTGTGTACAGCTCTGGATTTGCTGCAGAATGGTGGAATAACATCTGGGAACGATGTATTTTTCGTTGTTTTCTGGACTTTGCATGGTAATGCAAAGTATTTGGTGATGATGTTTATGGACAAGAAGGTCAAACGTTGTTTTCGAAACTCACTTGCTGCATGCGCGGCATTTGCAAGTGAATTTGGACGGTTGTGGTGCAACTTTATTTTTCCTGGATGTGCATGTCGTTTGTCAACAACAACAAACCAATTTATTTTTCTGCCAAACTGCGTTTTACATTTTCTGGAAGCTGCGTGATGTTTTTCAACTATTTCATGGACAAGGAGAACGTTTTTGGAATTTGTGATGAGTTTGAAGTTATTTGAGAATGTTTTGGAAATGGTGATGAATTCAACCAACATGAATTCATCAATGTGAAGCTGAATGTTTTTGGTGCGTTTGGAATCTGTGTGATTCCGCTGCCATGTTCAAGACGGGACAAGTGCAAGAAGACCAACATAGCACAGTGCATGCTGCATGAACAGCAAACTTACTTTGCTCTCGTCGTTTCCTGTGTGGAAAAGAGTTGAGCGACTGGTGCAGTGAGAGCCGTTGTTTTGGGGTTTTGTGTTTTGGTTAAACACTCGACGTGGCGGAGGCCGACCCCATTGCGTGCGTTTGCGACTAGTGGTTGTAATTAGGTCTGTTTGGGTTTTCGCATGGTAGCGGAGCGGTTGTGCTCCACGCGTAGTGTAATTAGACGCGATGTTGCCAGGAAATAGCCAGGGACAAGGACCAAGTAACCAGACTAGTGCGCTAGGAATGAATTCACTGCACTTAGGCTCAGGATCGCCCATCATGAATAGGATGGAAGGTGGAGGAGAACCAGGAGCAGAACGAAACACAGGTGCTGCAGGTAATTCGCCCACAGGTACTGCGATGCAAGCGAACGCGCAACAGGCAGCAGTAGGAATGGGAACAACAACGCAGACACCAGCTCAGAACTTAGTTGCTGCCGGAAGCTCAGTTGGTAGTGGTGCTCACATTCTCCCTGCACAGAACGTTTTTGGATCTTATGGACCTATGAGAGGTGGATTGATGGACCCTCGAAATTATGGACAGAACCAAGGTTATCTTGGAGGTCAAGGTCATGGATGTGGTAGTTGCAATGCATGTCAAGGGTATCCAGGTCAAGGTTTGCATGGACAAGGTCTGTTTGGACAAGGTCAGTTCGGACAAGGTCAAGGTGGACAAGGTCTGACAGGACAAGGTCTGATGGGACAAGGTCTGCATGGACAAGGGATGCCAGGACAAGGTTGCATGGGAACTGCATGCCAAAATGCCCAAGCTAGCACAGGCAGAAGTCAAGAACCAAATCAGGGGAATGCAAGTTATGGGATGCCATGGATGTCAGGTCAATGCGGAGGTGCTGCATGTCAAGGACAGGTTGGGTCAGGACAGAATGCAGGCATGTGCATGGGACAGGACATTGGCGGAGTAACACCCCAAAATCAAAGACTGCAAGATGTGCTGAGGCTGATGGGAGGTTTGGAACCAATGCAGTTGTTGCAAGTAAGACAAGTTCTAGGTGAACAGGCAAGCCAGGCTAGAGGTGTACCTGAGATGTTTGGACAAAGGACCACAAGTGGATTTCCTCAGAGCATGGATCCAATGCACGTACCAGGATCATCCGGGGAATACGTAGGTGACGTATTTGCTAAGAGTGAGAAGTGGCTGGGAACGCCACCAACTCCGGATTGTGCAAAGTGGACCAGCAGAGAAGCAGAAATCCTAGGGTGGCAAGCATACATCTATGATTTAACAGCCTGGGCGATGCAAGCCAGCCTCGAGTTCGGCAGTGAGATCGAGCATGCGTGCAGGTGGCCAGATCCGCTTAATTGGCACCAGCTGAATGTGAATCAGAGAGCACGCAGTCGACGACTGATGGCCATGCTGAGGAGTGCTTTTGCAAGTCATCCAAGAACTTTGACGCTGATCAATGCGTTCAGTGAAGGGATCAATCTATGCAATGCAGATGTTGGTGTGAACACGGAACTGCAGGCTTCAAATGGCTTTGAATTGGTGAGGCAACTGACCCTGGAGTACAGCATCAGGACCCGGAGTGAAGCACTTAGTTTCAGGACAGCCTTAGCTGGGAAATCTTTTGCACTGCATGGTAATGAGACCAGTGCAAGTACCATTGTCACGGACACAATCAGAAAGATAGATTTCGAGATGGCTAGGTATTCTAAGTTGCTGGGAACACTGTCAAGTAGAATTGATGCTGCAGGGTTGCATGTAGCTGAAGCTGATTTGGTAGCTGTGTTGCTACGAAGCTTACCGGATGCAGTGAGAACGTTTTGTCTGCATCATACTGGAGGTGAATCATATCATGCATTTCGTGCCACAGCCTTGCGTTGGGAACAACAGCAACGTGCGTTTGCTGAATTCCACCCCAAGAAGAACTTGTATCAGGTGAACCAGGTAGAGGTATCTGATGAGACAACTGCACACTATGACATGTCTGCAAGTGATGGGGATGGGAATTGGAATTTGGACGCTGTAGGCGGTGTGAAGTGTGGAACATGTGGCAGTCGAAAACACAGTTCAAATGCATGTGATGTTGATTTGTCAAAACTGAAATGTTTCAAGTGCCAAAAATTCGGACACATTTCTGTGAATTGCCCTGAAAGAAAGAAAGGAAAAGGCGACAACAAGCAGGTGATCAAAGGTAAGGGCAAGCAGAAGGGAAAGAAAGGCAAAGGTAAAGGTAAAGGTTTTGGCAAGAAAGGAAAAATGAACGAAGTAGGATACGAAAATGACTATGACGGGACTGACATGTGGTGGCAAGACGATGGATCTTGGTGGGAAGACCAGTCTTGGTTAGAAACGTCACAGGTTTGGAATGGCAATTGGGATGAATCATGGGACAGTGCATGGAATGAGGGACAGGAATACTGGGATGAGTCCTGGAGCTGGCCGGCAACAGATGACCAACAGGCAAGTGCAAGTGCCGGTGCAACTGCTCAGGGAGTACAGTCTCTCGTGCTGAGTCCATTGATTTCCGACGTTTTTGCCAGTTTTGCAACAGGTTTGACAGTTGAAACAGACATTTCAAACGAAACTGAAACCATTTGCAGCCATTTTTCATGTGATGAAACCGTTTTTCACGTTTCGATTTCAGGTTTACAGTGTTTGGAGTCACACAGAATATTTTGCAACTGTGCGAATTGCATGATTATCGGTGATGACTTTGGTGCAAACTTGGAGAGATGTCAATTGCGAAACGTGAGACTAAACTATTTTTTCACCAGTTTACCACCAGCATGTTTTATTTTTTCCCCTGAATTTTTCGATGGAAGAGAATTCGTTCCTATCTCGGACAGTGAATCTTGCGAAGAACCCGAACTCATTTTTGTTTCTGACAGTGAGTCTGGATGTTCATTTGTTGTGGACCAGCCAACAAACTATGGAGACGAATTTGATGACAGTTGCACTGAAATGGAAACAGAAACAGACGTGTGCCAGTTGTGGAATTTGGATTTTGGATGGGTGCATGAACAAACCCCTCAAGTTGACTCCAGTCTACTTTGTGCCATGTCTGCATCAGGAACCAGTGTTTTGTCAGGATCTCTGCAGGAAACTTCGCATCGTGTCACGACCTTTGAATGCGGTTTGCAAGGTATCAAGGTTGAAGGTGATACTCCAGTTTCTCAGGATCTTGTTTCATCTAACTGTCATCGAGTCGAACTGAAAAGGGTTGGAATCTCAACATTTTTGAACGTGCAAGACACAGTTTCTCATTCATTTGAACTGCATAGGTATTCACCAGTGTTGCATCCACTTTTATCTGAAATTATGATGGGAGACGAAAGCCAGCAGCTGCATTGGTGGTTGCTGGACTCCGGTGCAGCGGCAACAGTCATGGCCACTGCATCACGCGCCACTTACGGTGCATGGGTTGTGAACTCTCAGAATGACCGCTTCAGGGCGGCAAATGGTAGCAAAGTGAACATTGATGGATCTACCACTGTTTCGGTTTGGGTAGGGTTCAAGAAAAAGAATGACAATTTGGGAAGATTCCCAGTGTATCGTCAAGCCAAGCTGAAATGCCTTGTTGGCGGAATTAGCCATAACATCATTTCAACAAACACCCTTTGTGATTGCGGTTGGGAATTCAACCAGAATTCACAAGGCACTGAGGTTACTCACTCTGCAACAGGTTTGCGGTTAGGTGGTGTGTGTAACTTTGGGGGATGTCCATGGGTTAAACTTGACCCTGCATGGATGTACCAGGATTCTGAATCCACTGCACAACAGGGTGAATTTGTGATGTCAGAAGGTATGAATGCAGTGCATGACGGTGCAAACTTGAATCCTTTAAGCCGTGCAGCGGAAGCTGCATTGGAAACTCACCGAATGCAAGGGCATGTGCCCTACGATCCACGTCGTACCATTTGTGCAAGAGGCAAGTCGACATTCCAACATCGTCGACGTCGAGAAGGTACTCTTGAAACGGAAGTGCAAGCTGATTTTGGGTTTTTGACCACCAGAGGTGAAATGGTTGACGATGAAGCTGAAGGGACAATTAAGGTGCTAGTTCTGACTGAGCTCTCAACGAATTGCGTTGGGTATGTCATTGTAGGACAGGAGATTCGAACGGTGAAGAATCAGATATGCAAGTGGCTGGATCATTTTGGCCTTGCTTCTTCGACCTCTTCCGTTGTCCTGCATACTGATGCCGAACGTGCTGTTTCAGAATTAGTTGGCACCAGCTCTGACAAGTACACTTTCCTTGTTCGACGTGCACGACCTCAACAACACCAAAGCAATGGAGATGCAGAACGAGCTGTTCGACGGCTTAAGGAATCCCTTGCAGTGTTGCGTGCCGAGATGAACCAAGGAGGTGCTGATGTTTGCTTCACTGAACGTGGCCT